TCGGAGACGTGCGACATGCGTGAAACAATAACAAAACTTGCAAGAGGCTTTCATAATTACTTTCAATATGATCTTTATTGGCATTACTGTTATTATTGTGGACTTTATTGCTGTATTTAATGAAGTCCGCGAAAGAGGTCGAAATGAGCAAATCATTTTACAAATTAACTTTTTGACCCATTGACAGAATTTAGAATGGCTTTTTTTAGTCATCCATTTTCCGTACTCTGTAATGTGACCAGTGAATATAATAACAGCTTAGCAATAGTTTCTCTGATTGGCTTATCGTCACCGTCACCACTACCATTAACTTATTCTCGTTATTATTATCATTATTAGTCGTTATTATTGCTATTGTCACTATTATCATCATTATTATTATTGTTAATGATAATAATAATGATAATAATAATAATGAAAAAAATGATATTAACAGTCATGATTCTTATATTGATAATACAGTTATTACTATAAATAATACCAGTGGTATCAATACTGATAATGATGATGATAATAACAAAATTCAACAACAGCAACAAACACCGGCAAAAACAGCAATAATGGCAATGATAGTAATAACTAAATATTTAAGGCCAACGACCTAATGGGCAGTATTGATATCCAAAGAAGAGGGAGATCTCGGCAAAAACTCTATCGCAAAGTTTGGGCCAAGAAAGTGATAAAATTTCAGCTATATAGACGCCATGCCAATTTATCAAACAGTATTTTCCTTTCATGCTGTCACTTACGATTGATTTTATAATTCAAATGTGTTGTATTTGTTAGGTAATATGTATAGCGCACAGTGTTGTTTACTTTTTTTTACATTTGCTTATTGCATGACTTTATTTATACCAGTCATCCACATTATTTAATCGTAAATCAATTTATTACAAATACTAGGCAGTCTTTTCCGAAGTTTCGAATTGCATCTTTACTTATAAAATCTGATTTTTTTTACTGTGCAAAATGTCACGTCGTATTCAAAAAGGATTATTCACTTTGTAAGTGATCGGTAACATTGGGCTTTACAAATACAATAATTAATAATCTAGTCATACTCTGGACACATATACAATCTGCTGCCGAGTACAATGCTGTCACTTAATGCCATGCAATGCCTATGTACAAGCTGCTCACCAATGTCACTGTTGCAGCCTTACTGATATTCTGTTGCATTCCTGGTGATGTCCTACTGACATTAACAGGAAGAAGAAGAAGAAGAAAGAGGAGGAGGAGAAGAAGAAGAAATAGAAGAAGGAGGAGGAGGAGGAGCCTCATCATATCCAGATCTTCCTCTTCATCAAACTGACTGCTACTTGCTACCTACCTGTCCCTGTGCCTCACTGCCTTCTGCTGCGTCTACCTCCGCTTTTCCCACCAAAGGTGTCTGTGCTCTTCCCTATTTCCCGAAACGCTCCGCCACTTATCGTGTCTTCGTCGTCCTGCATGCATTCGGCTAGATAAGTAAAACTCACGCCAAGTCCTTGTCTTGCTTATGAATCGTACTGCTGCGCCTTCTTCAGTCTTGCAGTGCTTTCGCATAGAAATCTCCTCGCTTCTTTCTGCGTCTTCGTTATCCTACTTCTGATCGTTTACGAAAGCCAATGAAATCCCTTAGATTAATCGACTAGTGCAGAAAACTTTCATCTAATAAACTTCTAAATTCTTTTCAAATCACCACCGATACAGCAAAAAGCTTCGCCTCTTTCCATAATCCTCACTCTACATAACTGCTTTGTGCCATGTTGGAAGTTGTGATGATAACAGTTCGTTCCTATCCTCTCAGACAAGACACCGTAAAGTTTCACAGGAAAGTTGGCGATACCAGTGGCTTCGAAAATGAACTTTCAGCACTAACCCATCAAGAAGCCATTCCTTGATCACTCTTCAGTGGCTCTGCGTCACAAAAGAGTACTAACCTTTTCCTCATCACACCGCCGTGGAACCAGAAGAAGAAGAAGGAGAAGAGAAGAAAAAGAAAAAGAAGAAGGAGGGAGGAGGAGGACTCATACCAAGCCTACTTTATTTATGATTCAGCGACCACACACACAAAAAAAAGATATTTACACCAGCCACTATGACCATTTCACACCATGTTTGAAAGAAAGTATAAGATCCTCTTAGACTTATGAATCCTATAATACCTGGCGGATGATCAGAGAAACTCGGCTGAAGCTCCATTCCTTGACGGAAGTCCTGAAGGGTAACGGAACCGGCATCGTCCTTGGCAAAGCGGAAGAACGGGAAGTAGCGCGTCACCAGAATCCGAGCCTGGCCACCCCCGTCTTGCATCAAGGGATACAGCCTTTACTCAGAGAGAGGTGATCTCCATTGATTCCGGTAGAAGCGCGGCGTGGGTTGTAACGCGTTCAGGTGAGCAACACGCGAGAATGTATAGGAAGGAGAGGGAGGAGGAGGAGAAGGAGGAGCAGTAGGAGAAGGAGAAAGAGGAGCAGGAGGAGGAGGAAGAGGACGAGGAGGAGGAGGAAGAAGAAGAGCAGGAAAAGAAGAAGAAGAAGAAGAAGGGGAGGAGGTGGAAGAGGAAGAAGAAGAAGAGAGGAGATGGAAGAGGAAGAAGAAGAAGGAGGAGGAGGAGAGGAAGAAGAAGAAGGAAGAGGAGGAGGAAAAGAAGAAGGAGAAGGAGGGGAGAAGGTGAAGAATAGGAGAGAGAGAGAGAGAGAGAGAGAGAGAGAAGAGAGAGAGAGAGAGAGAGAGAGAGAGAGAGAGGAGAGAGAAGAGAGAGAGAGAGAGAGAAAGAGAGAGAGAGAAAGAGAAAGAGAGAGAAAGAGAGAGGGGGGGGGGGCAGAGAGAAACAAAGGCTACCGCAGACGCTCACTTTAACTGAAGTGAACTGAACTGAAATTGAAATGGAGCAAGTGGATGAAGAATCAATCAGACAGCTTTAACTATACAAGCAGAAATCTTTACCTGAGCAATAGATGTCAGTTATATTCTTCTGCGTGTTTTAGGTGTATAGCCAAACCGAAGCGTTCGAGGACTAATTTACAAGTTTATACAGTCTGCACAAGTCTGTTGTGATGAGGGTGTGTTATGGAATTTCTCAAAAGGGATTGTGAGATTTTCCCTAAAATGTACCGAAGCAAAAACAACTTATCACAAAATTCTTACCAAACATTATTATTTTTGACTTGTAAGCTTGAACCAATATTTTCGTCCCACTCAGGTAGGTATATTGTTGGTACTGTAGACTGCATTTTGTTCACTTCCAATAAAGCACTTAGATTTTTCTATAGAAAAGGGAAGATCGTATTTCCATATCATTGATAAGTATATTTTGAGTAAAATGTTCAATGTCATTATATAATGCAAGAATAGCTTTACAATTAAACATGCCTGAAAGTTACCGATGCTGTCAGAAACACTTGATCGGTGATAAAAAGGTGTATGTAACAAGGTTAAATTAGGTTAGTTGTTAGTTTCCTGTACGTCTTTCAGGAGGCTAATTGTTACACCAGATCTTCCTCTACTTTTCCTTTATCTTTTATTTTAATGGCACTTCTTAGAATATCAAAGGCCAGAGGTACTGCATGCCATCCTGACGTACGCCCATGAAAAAATTTGTTCTTGACCGTAGACTTACTTATAACATGAAAAGATGTGTGCACCGGATTTGTGACGAAAGAATATTAATGCAGGCACCTTATTTTATGAGCATTTTTTTTTTTTTTTTTTTTTTTTTTTTTTTACCTAATGTGTATTTCATTCCACTAATTTCGTCACTTTTATGGATCCGTCCCACTGCTACCATTTTTATTACAAATATTTACATTGTTACATAAATCATTCACAGATTTCCATATTCTGTGTATTTATCACTCAGATTTCCCTGACCCCCTTTGACACCGCCATATAACAATATCAATCAAATCTGTGTCCAAATCCGACCCAAGAATTAATGTTTTTTTTCCCGAATTGACCTACACTTTTGCATAAAGAAGTTAGAGGCGTCTACACTTTTCTTTAAAGAATTTAGAGGCGTCTACACTTTTCTTTAAAGAATTTAGAGGCGTCTACACTTTTCCTCAAAGTCATTGGAGAATTTATAGGAATGACAACTAAGTGTTAGTCATTAAAATACACATTTGCCGATAAGCGCCTTTCGATCACTTAGAAAGCCTAAGTTTACGTTTTCTATCGTAATTGGGGTTAAAAATCTGAGATATCTGGGATTTGCATTTTCCTTTCGCTTGGCTGTCGCATCTCCACATTATTTTAGTTTTATTTCTGCGGTTATAGGCTTAAGGAGCGAGTGTGGGAATTGCACTCTGTCCGGCTTGGTTCTTATCGGTGAGTTATCCATAATTCGGCCACGTCAACATTTAGTTTAGATTGGATTATGCAGGTCGTGCAAAAATGTGACCCATGAGTCGCTCATAGGTCACATACATTTTGCGTGTGTGTGTGTGTGTGTGTGTGTGTGTGTGTGTGTGTGTGTGTGTGTGTGTGTGTGTGTGTGTGTGTGTGTGTGTGTGTGTGTGTGTGTGTGTGTGTGTGTGTGTGTGTGCGCGCGCGCGCGTGCGTGCGTGTGTGCCTCATTCAGCATTTGGTTTCATTCTAGCCTCCAGGCAAGCTATTTGGATATTGAAAAGGGTCATAACATTTTTATGAAGTTAATTAGGTCAAAAAGGATAATCATCTTTAAAGTGGCATACTCCGCACTCATATGTTTCTTTTAGGATGAAATGCATTATAAAGCTGGTCAGGCATTATCATTTTAATTATTAATACAACAATTTTGTACCGGCATACGGGTTCTGAACAAGTACGAAACCATAACTTACCAAAAAATTATCGACTCCCAGTGATAATTTACATCCCGCTCATAACAGTTATAAATTCACTCATAATACCTATATTGCAATAATTACTGAGAACATGTTAAAATAATAAAATGACAACAGGAAGGAAAAATACATAAAAAAATCGGAACAGATAATATTGTAACTGATAAGACATTATTCATGTTAAAAATCGTAGCTTGGTCTCGAAGAATAAGCGACCAAACGCACAGTGTACATCTTAGTGGTGTGTTTTCAACGCAGCAAAGTTTCCTCCTTGAATCTTAAACTTTAATTTTGAGGAAAAGGAATTCAGGTTTATTTTTGCAAGCATGTCTAAGAGGGGATTTGCACAACAACACTACGGTAGTCTCTCGTCTGGTAATGTAATGTGTTGTTTGTTTACTTTTAATTTTTCTTTTGGGAATTTACAAAACCGTTAATGTGTGTGGTAATTTCGGAATGAAACCTTGCCAAAAGACATAAGAATAAACACTACAGCGTTATAAAGCAGCGTGTATGCCTATGAATTTATAGTATATACAACTTGTCAGAGGAGAGATGTATGTCATAATCAGATATATATTTTATAAGGTAGCCACAGGTACTCTGATGCTGCAATTGGAACTCCTCGTCTTGCTTGCTCAGACAAATCGAACAAATGTTATGACGATTTTGAACTCTACTTTCTCGTCCTGGACAAGTTGTCCATTTCGTCCATCTTTCCCCTTTTCCCAGCAGGGTGAGCAAGACGAGATGACATTACAGTAGCATTTGTATATAGACAACGACAGTTGCAGGCAACCATAAATATTGATAGGTAATTTTATTTCCCTTTATTGATGTTATCTAAGGACATTATTGTGTTGGTCAGTTGCAGTAAGTTAAGCATGCACCAGAAGAGTTACAAAACCTATGCAATGGGTAAAATTAAGACACTGTTATGATAAAAGAGTGATTGTTTATGTTGAAGCTTGGTTGCATTCTGGGCAGCGACGACCTGAAGGGTTTGAAAGCGCCCTCTTTGTCCTGCTGGTCCTGACATGTCTGGACGAGCAAGACGAGGGGTTCTGAACGCAGCATAAGTGATTTCCGAGGTAACAATCCCATATATATTCTAGCAAGAGAGACCTTGTAGACTATGCTAATTTCTAGACTACCTTGGGTAAATATTCAGAATACTTGTGGATGACTAATCACAATGATATTGGTATTGATGGATTCCTCTCATTCTGTACTAGCCAAACTTATAGAAAATATGCTGCAGAAATCATCTAATATCCACAATCTTAAGTAATTTTACACAAATAGCGCTGTATAACAGATTGCAACAATTTTGTATCGATTGAGTTCTCTCACTCTCTAGTATTCAAATATGTAATCACTGCATGCCTTTCAATCCCTGCAATATATTCACATATTCCTGGCCCAGTCTGGAATGGATGCAAGTCATCTAGTGAAGATTTAAGCCTGTGCTGTAATCAATACCCACCAGCTTTCAAGGATAGTTTTTCAGAATCTGCTGAACCTCTTGGGCATAAGTATTACAGTATAGTAAATTATGCAACTTTATTACACATACACATTGTAAGCAACATCTCTTTATGGTCATTAATTTTACAAACAATCAAATTATACCTGTGCTAAACAATCACATGTGGCTATTGCTGTTGCCAGATCCTGATAAGTCCACCATCATTTGGCCTGCTCTAAAAAAATTCATCAGTCATTTGTCAATAAGAGAATTTTGTTCCAAAATTCTGCTGCTTTAAAAAATTGACTAACTATATCCGTTGAAGATCTTCAGCGGAAAGGGCCTGGATTCAAGACTGGTTTATGACAGGGTAGTACGTATAACTGACAGTCTGTCTGACACTCTATCCTGCTGTGAATATGTGGAGGTTTCCTTGATTTCCATTGTGGGGGTTTTGGGGGAGGCAGCATTAGACAGTATAGTAAATGATTCTGTTTATGTTATATATTACCCCACAATTAACCTGCTACCATTGAGGGCCAAGAATGTGGTGGTTTGAGTGGTTTCTGTAGTATGGTTTCTATATATTTGGAAACAAGAGAGTAAGAGAAACTCATCGATACCAAAATCATCATGATGGGTTATATGAAGGTATTCCAAAATATGCATGCATGCTGTGAATAGGTTGAGGATTCTTCCATTGCAGGGGTACATAGTGCGGTGGCGGTGGCAGACCAATGTGTTGTGCAAAAGATCAGATAATGCTGCACATGAATCTTCATTGTGCACAGGATACTAAACTGCACATTTTTAGATCATTTATTGTGATTGCCTTGATGCCTTTCAAAAATGCAAAAATTGCCATGATGCCCTTGATTTTACTGAAATTTCAAGGCAAAAATTGCAGTGCCCCTTGTAACCTTAAGTTCCTGCCTGATTACTTAATAATGAATAATCTATACTAGTATTAGCTATATTGTCAATGAATGTTTGGGTTCTGGAGGTCAAAATCTTGCTCAGAATTAGACTTTGAAAGCCAGAAAGGTAAAAAGGTATAGACAAATGGTACGTGGCTTAATGTTCAAATATATATAAGAAATTTGCTGCCAGTAACTATGATTATACAATTTTGGTTGTCATTAGTAAACTTTTAGTGGATAGTGTAATCCAGTTGTGTGTCATGGAGCAACATGTCATTTATGAACTGATAAACTTCAAATTACATTCTGATTTTATATATAATTTTTCTTGTGTCACTTTGGCTTATCTGTATTTGGGAATGTAAAGAACAGTTCCTACTGTTTTGTTAGAAGAGGACCCTATGAAGACAGAGAAATTTGATGTAATGGTCATAATGAACATTAAATAGCAATTTAGTTAAAACAAGGTAAGTCTTTTGAAGACACAGACATCTACTACTGCCCTTCTACTGATTAGCGTGTTGTCACTATGGCAAACACCAACAAACCACCATATACATCCTGGTTATATAGAACTTCCAGTAGGCTCTGGTATGCTATTATCAAAAAAGAACCAGCAGGAGAATTATGGGAGCATGAATTTGAAGCTCTGGCAATTACTTGACACTGTGCTACCCTCAGATTGGCCTTCAGATTGTTAGGGTTTCTATCATTAATTGCTGTACGTTTCCTAAGAAAGTAGATTGATCACAGCCAATGTAATAATGAAAAGGTACTATTTTAAAGTTACTCCAGGTATTTTTTAAACATATACCATTAAATCTTAAATGAGGATGGCATGGAAATAGAGAAAAACTAAAGTAGTGCCCTTAAAGAACAATAAATCTAAAACATTCGCAAAAAGTGAAGTTAAGCTGACAGTTTATATATTCTGGCAAGATATAGCTTGCAACCTACCCTGCTGATTTACTATTAACTAAGAAAGATGTATGATTTATGACCTCATAAGCCTTTTGAAAATTTGTTCATTGTGAGAAAGGAAAAAGTATCTTGATTTGCTATATAAGCAATCCTAATAAAATCTTGCAAATGTTCGTAAATCTGGCCACATGTACTTGTGAGGTTTGTTGACCTTAACTGGCACAAGAAGCCTGGAGGTGGTGTGATCATGTGGTGTGAATAAGAACCAAATTTTTTTATGTTCAGGTATTTAGCTTTATTTTTTATGTTATTTTTGTCATATTTTTGTATTCCTTTTTAGTTATTAGAGAAGTATATTGTTTTAATTTGTTACTATTAATATATTGTTCTACCGGTGTTAATACTTCTTTGTTATGTTCTTATTAGTCTGTATGATTTTATTTTTTATGTTATGAAGTGCTTAATGATTAAAAATATAGCAGTTAGTAACTAATTATAGATTGACAGTTATAAAAGTCTAGTAAATAAAAGCAGTATTACACTTGTGTTTTAAAACCAAAATGCAATCAGTAATTTGTAAATAGAAGCTGTATTTTGGTTTTCATAGACTATTATTTTAAATGTATGTATGAATATTTTACTTCCAGATGACTCAGAAGAAGAGAGTTATGCTGGTTTTGGGACAAAGAAGAAACGCCTGGAAAGCACAGATAATGAGGAGAGAGGAGAAGAAGAGGAAGAAGAAGAAGAGGATGATGATGATGATAGTGAGAGTGATGAGAATGACTGGAATAATACAAATGCAGCAAAGTCACAGACCTCCGCTATAAGCAATGCGCCAAGCAATAGCAACTACAGTGCTTTTGCCCAAAGGATAATGGTGAGACAAAGCAAGTTTGCCTTTCATGATTGTTGTTTTCTGCATGTGTGTGTGTATATGAATTCCTATTAGCATATGTGTGATAGTAAAGTTTTTCTTTTCTTTTTTCCTTAAAAAAAAATCAGATTACTGTTATATTTCTGAAATACTTGAATTTCTTTCAGAAAAAACATGGGTTATGAGGAAGGCAAAGGCTTGGGTAAATACGGGCAAGGTCTTGTGGCTCCAGTTGAGGCCAGCAAACAGAGAGGACGTCGAGGTCTGGGTCTTCGTATAGAAGGGCTTGAAGCGCAGGATAATCAAGAATGGGATAGTAGTGAAGAGGTATGCAATTAATATTTATCCACCTGTACATTTAGAAAGAAATGCTTGTAAAAAATATATATATATATATATATAATATATATATATATATATATATATATATATATATATATACAATATATATATATATATATATATTATATATATATATATATATATAATATATATATATGTATATATATATGTATATATGTATGTATATATATGTATATATATATATATATATATATATATATATATATATATATATTTTTTTTTTTTTTTTTTTTTTTTCCAGATATTAGAATAATGGTCATGTATATATGGTTTAAATATTTCTTGAATCAGTTTAGCTGTGTATTTTATTACTTTATGAGGAGAAAATATCGGTTTTACTTTTTAACAACTACTGTCATTTTCATGTCATATACTGTGTCAAATCAAATTTAATAAATATTACTACCAAATAATTTAACAATATACACATAACGCTTTTGTGCCACTTCAGATATTCTTGTTATTAGGCAACATATTATTAATCCATTGCCACAGCATCACTATGTTCCAAGTTAACATATTGATTTCCAAGTAGGGACAACACAAGTATGTAAAAGAAATAAATATCATTCAAAAATGTAAATTGATATACTTTTCAAGGAATTGTAAATCTTTTTAATCCTTGGTACATCATGCCTTTGTAACATAAGAGCACATAGATATTGCCAAACATAATGTATTGTGGTTACCATATTGGTTAGGATGCAAGTCATTGCTGTGAATACAGTTAAGTGCTGGATTCCTTGTAATTTCATTGCTGGTCTAACAATGTAGTTGATAAGTATAATGCCATTTTAAAATATCGCACCAAAGAATATGAAATTCTGATATATCATTATCGTAAAATGTCTTTTCCAGTATGTTGAAGTTAATGAGGAAGTGCATTGGTTACCACACTGTCCTGACGATGTGCCTGACCTGGACACTCTTGGGTCATGGTCGAGGGAAGGCAAGGAGAAATTAACAATAACAGATGAGACGGAATTCTGTAGCCCAAAGGTTTTGAAAGGCATTCTGAGAGCAAAGGTGAGATGAAATTAATGCTTTTATATTCATGTTATCTGCTTAGTGTTGATTTAGAGACCTATTAAAGTATTGCAGGTTTTGTTGATCCTGCTCTTGATGACATAACTATAAAGCCCCCAACACCATCTCTTCTTCAGAAAAAAGATCCTTTAATGTAGCAGTTCAGAGTACAGTATTCACTGTAGCCTTGTTTTGCAATTTTCTTTATGCATTTATTGATTTTCTTTTATATTTATAAATTTTGTCAGTGCTCTTCAATTGGACTATCAGCAATTACAAGTCCTACCTTTCTCACTTGTTTATCTTTTTCCTTATTTTCAGAAATATTCTTTTCTATTTTCTGTTATTGATATTGTCAATTATGATCATAATGGTATTGATATAAATAGTATTCGAAAAAGCATTTTGTGTAGTCATTATTGCATAAAACAAAACTACAGTGAACATTAGAGGTCCTCAACAGCAATGGGTTTACAAACTTTTCTTATCTATTTTCTGTATTTGTCCTGTCTGGTCTGGTGATTTATAAACTGTTGATAACAGTTACACTCTGCTACTCAGACTTTTTGCTGAAAGTAGCCTAGTACTGTATGCTGACCAACATTTAATAGGAATGATGGACATTAGCTCCAGGATGACTTCATAAAAAAGTGACATCATGAAATACTGTTTAGTATCAAAATCTGAACAATCTCAATTATTCCTTAATTCCTTGAATCTGGATGACATGAGCAAATTTTTGGCTAAGGGCCATGTGATGTGAACATGCTGTCATGAGAATTTTGGCTGATGGCTGTATGACTGGAATGATTTGACACATGTGTTCAAAATTCTTGGACTCTGATTAGACTCAGAAGGCATTTAGGAAGCATTATTACCACGGGCAAATAAATGTGGATATACCGTCTGTGAGCCATGACTGACACAATGAATAGTATGCTCCAGGGAGGACACTATTTCTATGCTTAGTATCCCATTCCCGCCTACTGTGACAGGCAGCACCAGATGTATTACAAAATGACTCAAATAATAAGATATTACTATTTGTTATTGTTATTGCACAGACTTATAGACTACTTATAGAGATGATAAGGAGTTGTGATACAATATATCAGATGACTATATAGACCTTGGAAAATGGATAAAAGGCCAAACATGCTTCAGGTTTTATAGCAATTATTATGTATTGTTATATGCTCTTTGTATTTTTGTCTGGTTTTTGTGGTCTATGTCAGTGGTGAATACTGAAAATGCCATCTGTTCAGTGTACTTTCTCAATCCCATGAATATCCACTTCACAGCTTCCTTCAACTAAAGCAAACAGTAGTATGTTATTTTTTGTCTATTCACATTACAGACCATATTTGACCAGCTTGATGCGAGGGAATTACAGAGAAGCAGGTCGAGGAGTAATCCTTTTGAGACCCTGGGAAAACTTTTCTTCCAAAACAGAGCAGCTTTGAAAATGGCAAATATGGATGCAGTTTTTGACTTCATGTTCACAAGGCCTGTAGATGAAACTGGGTAAGTTATTTCTTTTGCTTTGGTCATGTTTGCCTGGGATTGCTTTTGCATTTTTCATGAATATTCTCTATCACATGTAATTTGCTATGCTACTTTTTTTTTTTTTGATATAGCAAAATATAAACAAAAGATCTTATAAACTTACTTTGTTTGAAGTGTTTTGTTTCCCTCTTCTTTTTTGTTATTTATCTAGTGAATTAAGTGTAATGGTGTGTGAATATCTTACTATCATCTAGTGTTGGTATCTTCCGAAACAATAAATTTCCTCTGCATGATTTCAATAATGCCTTAATGTTATATTCATCCTTTATTTTTTGTATTCATTTATTTTATATACTAATATTTTATATTATACATTATCTTTTATTCAGGAATCATTAGTTGGTCCTGATGAGGTGCTATACTTTGCTGATGTGTGTGCTGCCCCAGGTGGTTTCTCAGAGTATGTTCTATGGAGAAGAAAAACAGATTCAGAAAATTTCTGTGATGCTAAGGGATTTGGGTTTACCCTACGCGAAAATGACTTCAAACTCCATGATTTCTTTGCAGCCCCAGCTGAGTTCTTTGAACCACATTATGGTGAGTTCTGTTGCAGTCGGTGTGGTAGATCTGATTTGTTGTAAAGCATATGTGGTGCTTTATCTGTAAGAGCAGTGCTATTTTCTCAGTTGTAAGGAGCAGTGAACAAAATGTGACTTTATATTAAGGAAAATATTTGCACTTGTATTAGTAATCAGTAATTTTCTTTTTTGAAAATCATCCTAAGAGTAGTAAATTCATGTCACTTTATGCCTATACATTTTCATGCATGAACAGTCTTCACCTCATACAATAATGGTCATGATGTTCCTTTCCCTAGGTATTAATGGTCGAGATGGTGATGGAGATGTGTTTCAGCCAACCAACATTTCAAACTTTGTAAATTTCGTCCGCAAGAGTTCGGGAGGCCAGGGAGTCCACTTCATGATGGCTGATGGAGGTTTCAGTGTGGAGGGCCAGGAAAACAT